TGGGAGCTGTCACTCTGGTTGTGAACTGACACGTAATCTCTTGTGATGACAGGTTTGGCAAATCAGTCATGCCGTACTAATTCTGCAACAACTGTTGGGCTTATGTCAACAGACAGAGTGATACAGCAAAAACTGCAGCCCATTTTTCCAAATGTATAAAGGGTAGGAGATTTAAATGCCTTAACATCTCTGTTGATAGTTTATTTGCTAGCTCTGTAAACAATTTTTCAATGAACATCACAGTTCCAATGAGTCTATGAACCTGATAACACACCTTCATGTCTGCTTTTAACAATTCCAAAGTACAACTGACTTGTTCCAAAGGTTCCCAGGAATGTATAAAAATAGGGTTTCTTCTCTCTCCAAAAGTCTGTCCTGACTCTCTAAAGAACTCCGGTCACTTTAGACCTTTACCTGATCTTAAGTCGAAAGTCTTGTTTTAGACATCCCACCAGCAATAATCGGATCAGCCTGAAGGTTAAAAGTGCACTTTAATATAAGCAGTTGTCTCATCCTCATGTAACTTAGAATATGAGCTCTTCAGACCCTGTGAAAACAGCAGGGACTAGTTTCAGGGACAGGCTATCCAGCTTCATGCCTCCACTACCATTTTCAGTAAGGATTTCAGGCCCAAATGTGTGATAACACTGATATTTGACAGTCTGATCTGTAGAGTCCCAGTTAATCTACTGGTTACCCAGTTTAACATTCTCTCCCTGTTACAAATTTGAGACAATGGCCACTCTCCTGTCACACACAGAAAGTAGGAGCAGGGGTAGGCCATTCAACCTTTTGTGCTTGCTTCACCATTCAATACCTTATGGCTGATCCAGTACTCTGTTCCCACTTGATCCTTCTACCCTTCTATCCCTTTAACCCTAAGAATATATCCAACTCCTTCTTGAAATCATTCAATGTTTTGGCCTCAACCACTTTCTGTGGCAGAGAATTCAACAGGCTCACCACTCTCTGGGTGAAGAAATTTCTCCTCGTCTCAGTCCTAAATGACCTAACCCGTATCCTTGGAATGTGAGCCCTGCTCCTGGACTCCCTGGTGATCAGGAATATCTCTCCTATATTTACCCTGTCTAGTCCTGTTGGAATTTTATAGCTTTCTATGGATCCCCATCATTCTTCTAAACTCCAGTGAGTACAGTAATGACCGATCCAGTCTTTGTTCATATCTCAGTCCTGCCATCCAGGAATTGGTCTCGTAAACCTTCACTGCACTCCCTCCATAGCCAGAACATTCTTCTTCAGATCATGAGACTAAACTGCACACAATACTCCAGATGAAGTCTCACCAAGTACCCAGTACAACTGCAGAAGACATTCCTGCTCCTATATTAAAATCCTTTCGATTTTGAAGGCCAACATACCGTGTGCCTTATTCACCATTTGATGCACCCATGTGCTCACTTCCAGCATAAGATATATGAGGTCCTGTTGCACAGCCCCCGTTCCTAATCAATTGCGATTCAGATACTAATCTGCCTTCCTGTTTGCCCTGGCGAACTGGATAACCTGACATTTATCCACATTATACTTCACCTGCCATGATTTGCCCACTGACTCAACTAGTCCAAATCACACTGGCATGGCATCCAACTGGCATGGGACAATCTACATATTTAAAATTCATTCTATTAGCTCACACACAAAGAACAGACTCCTGGACATGCTTGTGGTCTCTCCCTGAACATCCACAACCCTAAAGGGGTCAGCACTTTCAGGTAAGAAATGGAAAACACTGAAGAAGAAAACAGTTTACAAAGCTTATATGTCGATTTCCCTGAGCAGCTCCTCCAAATCCTTCTGCACTGTGGCTCCCATTTACATTTGATGTTTGAGGCAAAATGGCAAGCTGATGTATTGGAAAACGTAACTGTTTTGTTATTAGGTGATTGTGATGGACAAGCAAGTTAGTCAAATTAACTGCGTGATGGTTCATGTGGGAAGTGTGTCCTCCGTATAATTGAAGAATGTATTGAGCTGGTTCCAATAAAAGCTGAAAACATCATAACACCTGGTACTAATGGTAAGCATGGATTCTCATTAACAATTTAAGTTTTCAATAGTTTATATTGTTCCTTTTACTCGGAACAAAGAGTGATATTGATCTGCTGGTTAAATTAAAATGAACATTTTCAGAAAGTGGTGTGTAGTGGTTTCAGGCATCTATTGATCCTTCTTATATCAGACTTCATTTCATCTACATTGATCTATCTTATTTAACAAAGCTTAAAGTGATCTCAGATGGCAAAACAGTGGCATTTTCTTTGACGTGTGAATCATATATTCTCATTTTCTGAAAGAAGCAAGTGCGACAACTGAAAGTCGTAGGGGCACACACTTAGCATTCAGGTTGGTGGTGGGCATCTGGTTCAGCTACCGTATGGAGGGCTGATGGACAGTGGGTGTAACACTGGAGATGTTCAGCAATGCAGGCTTAGAGTTCTGATGTTGGAAGGGATTGGTCAAGGGTAGAATCTTGGGGTTGTATTGACTTGAAGCTGGAACCTACACTGTCTTGTACAGTCTTGACAACACTTGGAGGAGATTCCCGGGACTGGGAGGACTAAGGTTTGTCTCTGAGGTATGTGGTTATCTCTGAGATAGTAAGAACTGCAGATGCTGGAGAATCTGAGATAACAAGGTGTAGAGCTGGAAATGGGGTCTGAAGAAGGGTCCAGGCCCGAAACATCAGCCTTCCTGCTCCTCTGATGCTGCTTGGCCTGCTGTGTTCATCCAGCTCTACACCTTGTTATCTCTGGTTATCTCTGTTGCTTTGACAATGGTTAGATCCTATGCGGTGGGGGTTGATTGAACTTGGGCAGCAATCAGGCACAGATTGTCTTGGGGTTGGCAGCATTAAGGGCGCAGTATGTGGCTTGACCTCAGGAAGGGGTTGGAAAGTGGGTGAGGATATCTGGGATTGGCAGCACAATACATGAGTCTCTCAGATCTGCCAACCTGGTTGTTGGGAACAGAAGTCTGACAGTCACAGGATGAAGGTCCCCGGGTCCAGTAAAAATGGAGGAGACTCCAAAGACCAATGGTCCTGACTGGATGCCCTGCCATTTGAAGGGAAGGAAAGGGAAGCAAAGCAATCTGATCAAAGTTGCAATTCTCATCTTTATACAAATAAGAAAGGCAATTTATTTTCGACTACAGACCCAACGCTCCTTCTCAGTTCCAAACTATCTCTTGGTTGTTAATCAAGATGTATTTCTAAACAGATATGGTGTTGTGTTTTCTTTTTAAAATGATGATATTCTGTTCTATAAAACCCTAATGCAAGAATGAAAATTTTTCAAATCATTATGTATTTGCAATGCCGATTAATAAAGTGTGAATAAACTCAAGCAATTTCTTGTTACACGGATCCAAGAAATCAAGAAAATGATCTTTTATTACGAGGTCAAGGTGACGCAGATGCTCGCAATCTTTAGAGGTTTATATTATGTGAAACGAATACTTAACAAGATCCAAAGTAGGTTCTGAAAGACAACGTACAATAATATACTATGTAATGCGGAGAATTTCAAATCAGTTTGTTATGGTCAATTTTTTGAGAGTAGCATATGAATCTATAAAATAGAAAACAAACAGATCTGTTCCTAAAAAGAACAGTGTGGATACCAATGAGCAAATAATAAAACACAGGCCTCTGTTCATTGTTAATAGCAGCCACAAACATAAATTGATCAGTTGTCTTCTGAGAGAGTTACATGTGTTATCATTTCACTGAGCATTAAAGAACAAAGTAGAACTACAGATTTTCCACAACTCACAAATATCACACTGTAGTTAAACTGTGTCACTATCTAAAACAGTCACAGGCTGAGGGGGATTTTTATGGGTTGCACATATTCATCCAAAGACATTGCAAATGGAAAGGACATTGGTAGAGAAAACACCGGGATGAAAGTGAAGTGGCATTGAGGAAACAGAGATAATTACTCATGTCAATTGTGATGAAGTAAGCAAGTGACACTCATATTTGTATTTCTTTCTATCCCCACCTCTCATCACTGATATGTGCTTCCAGCTAGTTGTTAAGGAGAGAGTAGCAAATAGTTGCTGAAAATGTGAGTAGGATTATGGAGACTCTGTCGAGTGAGCAGAACTTGCACTGAGTGCGTTCAGGAGGATGTTATAAACACAAGGAACCATAGTGATGTTAAGAGGTATGAATCTCTGGCATTATTTCCAGTGGAGCTGAGATTGGAAATTGGATTTATTAGATGCTTTTTTTAAAAAAATCATGAGGTGTTTTGGTTTGTAAATTGGGAGGTAACCAGCTGCGGTTGGCAAATGATTGTAGGACTCACTCTCTGTTAGAGAGAAGCAATTGGTTTGATAGCTTAAAGGGCACCACTCCATATCACACATGGGACAGGTAAAAGGCACCTTCCAAAAATCTACCTCAACGAGGGCAGAAACCGAACCCATGACTGTTTCTGATGTACCAGACCACACAAGGGCCAGTGAATCTAACTGATCTAACTGGTCCCTCATTCTCGAGTGAATAGGGAAAGAATATTTCCTCTATTTGAGGAGTCAGTAGTTGGGTAAGGCTCATCATTTTTTAAGGGTAACCTAAATTTGCATAGTTCATAACCAATGGAAAATGCAGATATTACAAAGAGTTACCGCAACAGTACCAAGAGTTAATATCGAGGCAGAGGCATAAGGTTGTAGCATTGATTGGGTAATATTGAAATGAGAAAGGCAACTAATGGAAACATAATCACATAGCATAAAGCTATGATATGCAGAGGCACAAACGGCATCAGAAATTGGTAAAATTGAGCATCATGTGAAGGCACAACTGGGTAAAGGATCAATGGAAGGAACAAATGTGTCAAATGGTTGATCCAATCCATGCAAACTCCAGGAGTTTAACTCTTCAGTTGATAGGGAACATAATAGCCAGAAGTCACATGCAAGACAGGAGGAGTCTGTTACATGCAGGATACCTTCGTTACGAGCCATACCTGAGTGTGAGAAGGAGGTAGCCCTTTCCTGCCATATACTCCAATCAATGCGTCCTTCGGAAGAGATATGTTGAACTTCAGGAACTGGGGCTGATCAATAAAAAGTTGAGCTCTCCAAAAGACACCAGGAGGCACCTCCTGTATCCTCCACCGACCCAAGTCAACCTCACCTGAATCTATGGTGTTGTTTTCTTGATAGGTGATGCCAAGTTTACCTTGAAATAAAGAAAATACTTTCAGAATGCAAGATTCCAAGTTATGGCATCAATGTCAATCTTTGAATTGTGACTCTGGAGGTATTGTTTTATCCATAATTATCCCCCTCCAGGCTCCTTCAGTACTGACATGTACTTATGTCCTTGCACGGGAAGAGAATCCTGAGTTGTGAGTTCAAATCCCATCCTGAAATTAAATTCACTTAAGACGGGTAATATGTGAATTAGCACCGGGCAACGTTAATCTGAAAGCTGTCACTGTTGTAAATCCCCACAGCACCTCAGGAATGATTCAGCAAAGGCAAATCTATTTGGATTCCAGACTCTTGCTCTAATTTGGAGTCTTCGTGTCCTGTGAAATGGCCTAACAAATAATGAAATTTCTCTGGGCAAAGAGGAAATACAATAAACCAAGGCCTTATCACCATCTTATCACAGGAACAAATTACAACCAAACATGAACAGGACAGCCAGCTCTCTGTGGGAATGAATCTCAGTTTCATGTCTTTATATTGGACTTGACATATTAACTCTGTTTCTCTTTCCACAGATGCTATTAAACCTGCTGAGTTTCTTCAACATTTTCTGTATTTGTTTCATACGGCACTTCCTGACCTTGTCAGGTTTGTAAATTCAATCATGCTACAAAGAAACATCAAGCAGAGGTGGATTTTCCATTCATGGCTAAGTCATTGGAAGTAGGTTAGATATCGTGAATGACTGGTTTTCCCAGAGGAAATGAAGAGATAATTTGGCTCTTCCTATTTACTCCATTCATTGGCTATATTCAGTCTTATCAATCATGGACTGTAGCTCATATAATCTCTCAAGGACTAGTTCTGCATCAGTAATTGTTCAATCACAAAACAGTGAAGGAGAATATTCATTCATCCTCACAATTCAAGCCTTCTATCCTCATGTCAAATGTTCTAATCTTTCCATTGTCAAATGGGATTCAAGTGGGAATCAGGAGCCAATTGTCAGGTCTCACCATACAATTCAGAACTGATACCAGATTGTATGTCATTTCTGTAACTTACAAGTCGCAGATAACCTAAAACACTTGCCCTTGAACATAGTCGGTTTACATACTAATGACATGGCGTCTGTTGCTAGGTCTCTTGAGGACGTTATATTTGCTTTGAATATAACTATATGATTAGCACAGAATAGCAGGCATTACCAAACAGTGTGTGTGATTTGTTATGCAGTAGCGATAGAATTTGAGTTTAATTCCAGTGATTATTCATTGTGCCAATCATCAGTCAACCATCAGGACCCAAACAGCAGAACATTAGAAATGGAATTTTACGGTAAACATGGCAAGAAGTTTGTTTAGTTTAAAGCCAATTGACTGAAACTCTTGTTTAAACTGTTGTAGAATGAAATAAGAACTTTTTACCAGGTTTCACTGGCATGGCTTTAAAACAAGCAAACATGGAATGATCATAAAATGTGATATCTTTGCAAAAATGAGCATCAAGTTAATTCTTATGATCCCTGTTCCAGACACTGTTGCTATTATAGAAAATTGAAAAAAAAAACTTGTGTAAATCCTCCAATATTGAGGTCACTTTAATTTCAGCAGCTTTATTTTCTTATGTTAGTTTCAGGTACTTTCCAAACCGTCAAACATATACCCTGGGACCACTGTGTGTGGCATCGATAATGCACACAATCAGTTCTCATTCATGCATGTATCCGTCACCTCTGACTCAACAAATGTTGTAAATTATATTCCACAGAATGGGACAAATGAGCAACATGTGGGACATCTTGATTATATGAAAAGTAATATTACTTCTAGGCCAAGAATGGTATGTCAACAGTTTGAAAAACATGAATTCCACAATACCCTTGGCTACCTTTCTTCTGTGTTTCATTCCCTAAATGCCAAAGGAGAATTTCTTTTCAGAGGCATCATTGTACTGTTGTCTAGCACAGCGTATAAAATTTTCTCCTGGGCTCGTTTGCTGTTGCTCAACGTAAGAATCTGCCGGAAGATCCAAATCAACCGAAATAAGTTTGTCCAGGTGATAAGGGCTGTAGTGGGCCAGGAGGCAGGACTGCATTTGGGATTGGCTTGTGCAGGAAACACCATATCGTCTTGAATTACAGTCAGATTTTATTGTCACATGTACTCAACTACAGGAATTCATGAGTACAGTGAAAAGTGTACAGAGTCACCATTCTCTGGCGCCATCTTGGTTTCAGAACCAGAATCTCAAAAAAAAACAGCAGCAGAAATAAAAGGAAACCAAAAGGTAAGAAAAACATCCAGATCTCAAAGTCTAAGTCTTGTGTCCATAAACGTTGTTGGAACCACCAATGCAGGTAACCCGGACTTAGCCACGGTCTGAATTCTCGGTCAGCCTCCGAGTCTCACATTGACCGCTGTCACTGCCACCTCCAATCACCAGGAGGAGCTGTTTCCACCTCTGCTGTCTCAGACCACTGGGAGGCTGCTGCCATTCTGTGCTCGGCCTGCTCTTGTTGCTGCGCCGATGCCGCCCACCGCGAAAAGCTTCCAAGAAATACGAGAAACAGACGAAAGGAAAAAAGAAAAAGAGCAGAAGTTAAAAGAAAAAAAAGAAAGAAAGCAGACAGGAGTGGAGCAGTTCCGGGCTCACACACAGACCTTTTGCTCTGTCGTCTTCGTACTTACCTCAATATTCTGCCACTTCTCTCCTCCTGGGTTTGAGAATTTTGTCTAGTTTATTATTGCAGTCAGAGTTAGAGGGAATTGATTTGGAGAGGCCCAACATGGCCATACATAGGAGCACCATCACCCACAAGTTTCCCTCCAAACCACACGCCACCCTTACTTGCAACAATACACTATTCCTTCACGATTGCAGGGTGAAAATCCTGGAATTTTCCTCCTAACTGTATTGTGGATCTGTCTGCTCCCCGTGGACTGCAGTGGTTTGAGAAGGTAGCTCACACCAGCTTCTCAAGCATAATTAGGGTAGACAATAAAGACAGCCCACTTCTTAAGGAAAAGTAAAGAAGTACTTTACTGCACCTCAGCAATTAAACAGCCCCAGATTCGGGAGCATGGAAATCCTAATGCCTGTGCCTTCAGGATGCCAAGCAAGGAGAATGTTGCCTCTCACAGAATTAGAAAACATAGACAATAAAAGTGCCAAAACTTGCCCAATGAACAAAATTCAATCACAATGCACCAATTAATGTTTTTTTTGGTGTTACTATTAAAACTTTCAGAGTAATGTTTCCCTGTATTGAGAAAATGTTTTTTAAATTAGGCTGAAGGGCTATTCACTCACTCCAAGTGATTTGAGTATTTTCATTGTTAATATAGTAATTGACAATAATTAACATGTCTGGAAGTAGAATAAGCATTCTTCTATTAAGCAATATAAATGGAACTTCACATTCAATGAAACTGGAGTGCTTTTGACCTGCCCACTGTGAGTTGACAGCAGAAATTGTTACCTATGGCAAGAAATGCCATCCAGGGGAATTATACAACCTTATTGATCCACTATTCTCAACTTCACCTTCTCTAGTTTCACCCAGTTGTCTTTTAATAGGACCATATTTGACCTCTCCAGCCCCAGCTCTGATGAAGGTTTCAGAATGAGCTTCCAAAGAAAAGGACAAAGTTAATTGCACTAATTACGAACATTCACAGGATGTCCATAAAACTCAGCAATTTTGCTGATTTGCAATAGATTTAGAATGAAATGTAGATTCTTTTCTGGACTTCTGATCATAATCAAATTGGGTATTACTTTCAACATAAGTTCAAATTAGGCTTTTGATTTGAAAAAAAGCTGATTTGCATTTGTTTATTCTGGAATAAAGCCGCAAAATTTGCTGTAAAGTTTAAGAGCAACTATAGTGTAATATGAACTTTATGTTCTTATTTTCCTGAGATAATTTGTGTGTGTGACTAATTTATGCTGGTTAGATTCCAAATTATTGTTAAATGCAAAGTACCTCTGCATCATAATTTGATTAAACCCTCTGCCCACTCCTGATTAGCCCCTATAGGTGGATTAACATTTTCAGTTGTGTTATCCTCATTTTTTTAAAGGTTGACAAGAAATCTGAGCAAACATTTCCACAAGCAACACTGGTATGCAGACTCATGTAGATTTTGCTGTAATCCCTGCAGCGGTTTGATCCAGGGACTTTTGGTTCAAAGTATCTACCCCTTAAATGGAGTACCGCACTACTATGAGAAACAGTTACAAAATCAGAAATTATTGGAAAAACTCAGCAGGTCAGGCAGTATTTGTGGAGAGAAAGCAGAGTTAAACTGAATGGTACAGTAACCCTCCTTCAGAACATGTTTCTGCAGTGATAGTGCCATACAGCACAGAAACAGATCCTTTGGTCAAATGTGTCTATGCCAACCAAGTTTCCCAAACTAAACCAGTCCCATTTGTCTGTATTTAGCCAATATCCCTCGAAATCTTCCCTGTTCATCAACCTGCCCAAATGTCTTTTATATGTTGGAACTGTACCTATATCGACCACTTCCTCTGGCAGTTCATTCCACATTTGAAACCACCCTCTGTGTGAAAAGATTGTCCCTCAGGTCCCTTTAAATCTTTCTCCTCTCACCTTTAACCTATGCCCTTTAGTTTTGAACTCTCCAAACCTCGGGAAAAGACCTTGCTATTCAACTTATCGATACTCCTCATGATTTTATTAACCTCTGTAAGGTCACCCCTCAATCTCCTACGCTCCAGTGAAAATTCTTTGCTATTTTGTGTTAGAAATAGTTAAGTACACAAAATAACGATTAAGCAGGATACTGCAACAATGGGGCAAGAATAATAGAGCATTAGATGATTATGTGAATAGAAACAATGAGTAGAGTTATGGTCAAGAGAAAGGAGATTGGCATTAAACTATAATGCTTGTTTGGAGAGTCGATAATAGGCATGATGGGCTGAAAGGTCTCCTTTTACATTGTAACAATTCTGTGATTCTGCACACACCACTCTTTATGTATTTCTTCTTGAGGT